GTGCAGGGACCAGTACCCCCACCCCTCTGACGCCCAGCGTACCACTCACGAAGCTGCTGAGGCGAAGGGATGTCCCGCGAGCGCTGCTGCTGCTGCCGGTGCGAGCGCTGGCCACCACCACCGCCGCTACGCTGCTGGGTACCACCCCGACCAGCTCCACCTCCTCCACCACTACTGCCTCCTCCGCTGCCGCCTCCACTGCCTCCACCTCCGCCGCCTCCACCTCCGCCGCTGCCTCCACCACCACCGCTGGCACCACCACCACCGTCTCCGCCGCTGCTGCCGCCACCACCACCACCACCCCCGCCACTAGCCCCGCCGCCACCCCCACTCCCTCCGCCGCCACCGCCGCCACCGCCACCGCCCCCTCCAGCTCCACCCGCGCCCTTGCCCCCCTTGCCCTTGCTGGAGCGACGTCTCCCACTAGGGGCAGACGCCGCGCCGACCGACTCAAGACCAAGCAGGTCGGCAGCAGCAGCAGAGGCAACAGAGGGCAGCAAGGGGGAAGGAGAGCACCCCTCAAAGATGGGGGTGCGAGGGTCACCACGAGAAGCACCTACAGCGACTATGCTCTTCTCCGCTGCAAGGAGGGCCTTCTCGAGGAGGTCGACGGTGAGAGTGGTGGGACAGACCGCGAGAAAGTGGTCCCTGACGACGCGAAGGGAGTCAGGGAGGCGTGCGACTACGTAGTAGAGAGCGATGTACATGGGGGGGGGGTTCTTAGCGCAGAACTCAGCAGGAAGGGCCGCGCGGTAGCGAGTGTCACTAGTGCGGAGGTGCGTAATGAGGTCAGCGACAGTGGGAAAGGCAGAGAGGTCAGGAAAGAGGTAGGGAAGCATGAGACGGCTCAGTGCAGCAGTGGCAGGGGAGGAGTAGCGCGCAACTACAGCGTCGTACAAGGTCTGAGCACTCTTGTACTGACTAAAGTGCGCACGCTCAGAGGTAGGGAGGTGGCGACGCACAGCAAGACGTGCAGCAGCATCGCGGGTGGCCCACTTAGAGCGGACAGCGGGATCAGCATCAGCAGCAGGGGCAGGAGAGGCGCCAGAGGTGAGGTCAAAGAGAGAAAGGTCATCAGCCCTGTCGCACTGTAAGAACAGCTGCAGGTCGTCTAACCAGACCTCAAAATCAATGGCGCGACCCTCAGCGTCAAAAGCTAGGACACTAGGGGTAGCCATGGTGACGACAGCGACGCAGTGCAAGCAGTAGGGAAAGAGCTCGCAGTGTCAGTGGGACAGTGCTCACCAGGCAGGGCAGGTCGTGCAGTCAGCAGAAAGGCGGCTCAGCGACCGGGCGGCTCGGGTGCACAGCTGCTCGGCTCCCGGGCGGCTCGGCGGCTGGGCGGCTCGAACGCAGGGCGGCTCGGCTCCCGGGCGGCTCGGCGGCAGGGCGGCTCGGGTCCCGGGCGGCTCGGCTGCTGGGGCGGCTCGGCCGGGAGATGCAGCGTCGGGCCGGCAGGTGCAGTGTCGGGCCGGCAGGTGCAAGTGGCGGGCCGTAAGAGGCGGCGGGCCGATGGGGGCAGCGGCGGGCCGGTAGGTGCAGCGGCGGGCCGGCAGGAGCAGCGGCGGGCCGGCAGGGTGCAGCGGCGGGCCGGCAGGAGCAGCGACGGGCCGGCAGGGTGCAGCGGCGGGCCGTAGAGTGCAGCGGCGGGGCCGTCGGCAGCAGAGGCGGGGCCGCGTCAGAGGAGGCGGCGTGGCCGCGTCAATGGAGGCGGCGGGGCCGCGTCAGGGGAGGCGGCGGAGTCGCGTCAGGGGAGGCGGCGGGGCCTCGTCAGGGGAGGCGGCGGGGCCGCGTCAGGAGAGGCGGCGGGGCCGCGTCAAGGGAGGCGGCGGGGCCGCGTCAAGGGAGGCGGCAGGGCCGCGTCAGGGGAGGCGGCGGGGCCGCGTCAGGGGAGGCGGCGAGGCCGCGTCAAGGGAGGCGGCGGGGCCGCGTCAAGGGAGGCGGCGGGGCCGCGTTAAAGGAGGCGGCGGGGCCACGTCAAGGGAGGCGGCTGGGCCGCGTCAGGGGAGGCGGCAAAGCCGCGTCAGAGGAGGCGGCGGGGCCGCGAGTGAAAAGGCGACCCGAGGGGTCGCTAAAAAAAAGGGCGCGCCTCGGGGCGCGCGTCGGTGGGCCCAGACAACGGTCCTAAGGTAGGACCCGCTCTATACCATGTGAGAATAGGAAAACAGGAATGAATGAACTATGAATGAAAACAGTACAAATATGAAACCCTAACTGGGTTGTACCCCCTATGGGATACCCCACTACAGCCTACACAGCAGTATAAGCTATAGATATGTTCTGACACTTGTTTCAGTAGCGGGTCAGTGCGCCCATAACCCCCCAGGCAAATGTGCGTGTAACCCTTCCCTAGGATCGATCGGGGATCACCAGTGGACCTCTGACAATCTTGTACTGTTCATAGACCAGCAGCAAGGTTTGCAGGTGTGTACTAGTATGTGCTTCCTATCTGTGCTTTACTTATAGATCTTCTTAGGTATTGTGTTAAGACCCATTAACTCTCTGTTGTATGTACTGCAATAATGATACATATTATGTGAAACATTGAAACTTACTCCAGAAATATATTTGGTGCAAATTAGTATCGACTGGGAAAAGGGTTTTATTGATATAAAATTGTTGGTAAACATTTATCGGAATTGCTTTTCTTCCGTGTACCACCTTTGCACAGTGTAGTATATGTACAGTAAAAATTATCAAATTTATTGCTGGGGAAATCAGTTTTGACCGAAGCGCGATGGTGGTGGAAATCCGCTGGAAACAATCTCTGCTTTCCGATTGAAGTCATAGAATCCCTCCAAGATGGAAATCCGATGGAAAATCTAGTGACACTACCAGCGCGCCACTCGGTAGAATTCCGTCGGAACAAGTTAAGTGTTTTTCGACGGTTTTCCATTGGTTGGACAACAAACCGAACCTAAACCGCCAGTTTTCAGGCCTGTCCTCCGCAAATTTCTGCTTCGGGAGACTTTCGCGTCGAGAGATTTTCTCCAGACCCGGAAACGGTGATTTGCCGTTGCACACGTAGGCTCGATTTGCTACCGTGGTCGGACAATTTGATGATAATTGCTCGAGTGGTCTTGCCAGAGGTTTCCTCAGGCTTTTTTTTTATCCGGCACATTACCCAAAACCGGTTTTTAGCCCTGCTTTTCTTACGTCGTTCGTGTCTCTTCCCGCAAAAACGTGGCGTGTGTTTTTCCGCCCGATTTTTTCGGCTGGGTGACGTGCGCGAGAGCGGCCACATCATCGTTCGAATAAACGACAATAATCAACACGATCATATTCGGCGAACAGTCGCGCTCATTTTCGGTCCAGTGATTGACCAATCCGCGCATAGAGATATGAATCCCCGATCATATATTCAATTGCCCGACTGTCCACACGCGCGACCACTTACAGAGCGCGTGTGATTGGTCGAATCTACGCGCAAAGTACTTTTTTACCTTGCGCGTCCAATCAGGCGCGGTCATGTAAGATCGCGCTCATATAAAACCGCGCATTTACCTATATGAGCGCGCATATGTGGTGCTCAAATGTGTGTGCGATCTGTTTTATTAATAAAAACCTATATTAATAGAATCGGGAGACGTTCACTACCGGTGTTTTGCCATTGTATCTTTATAACACTGTGCGGTCCGTTCATTTAGCAATCATAGGGTTTATTGTATCTGTAGGCATGTCGACCTCTACGCATGCCTACAATGATATTACGTAGATTTGATGTGTACTGAGCACGCAATGTCATTGTTGACCATACATCTCATCAGTTATTGTGCAGAAAGGCATCGATGATGTCGTCCGCCGCCCCATGCACAGGTTTAGCAAACAAGTTCATTAGATTAATGAAGGGTTTAGTGAAACTACAGCATATGAATAAGCACTAATATATTGGTATGTGTACCTTTTGTAGCATTTGTGAGTTTAAACATATATTCCATTTCCAGTAGCGCGATCTCGTGACCCTATATGAGCGCGCCTGATTGGACGCGCAAGATCAGAAAAGGGCCCGCGCATAAAGTCGACCAATCACACGCGCTCTGTAATTGGTCGCGCGTGTGGACAGTCGTGCAATTGAGTATATGATCGGGGATTCATATCTCTATGCGCGGATTGGTCAATTATTGGACCGAAAATGAGCGCGACTGTTCGCCGAACATGATCGTGTTGATTATTGTCGTGTATTCGAACGATGACGTGGCCGCTCTCGCGCACGTCACCCAGCCGAAAAAATCGGGCGGAAAAACACACGCCACGTTTTTGCGGGAAGAGTTACGAACGACGACCCTAAAGCAGGGCTAAAAACCGGTTTTGGGTAATGTGCCGGATAAAAAAAAAGCCAGAGAAAACCTCTGGCAAGACCACTCGAGCAATTATCATCAAATTGTCCGACCACGGTAGCAAATCGAGCCTACGTGTGCAACGGCAAATCACCGTTTCCGGGTCTGGAGAAAATCTCTCCTTTCGCGTCCCTGCAAAACACGACGACCCTCTGCAGGGTCAGTGCAATCTCAACGAAGTCGTAGTTTCCTCTCTAGTTCCCAAGGCACTTTCAACACGCCACCATCAGTCCGTCTTAGTCGTCGATCCGGATTATGAGAGCCGTTGTTAGTGTGGTTCCGCAAACCACTCCAACACATTGGAAGGCCAGGTTCGTGTTGGTGGGCTGCCACGTTGATGCCACGTGGCCCCGGGGCTCAAATGTCCAGACATTTGGCGTTTGGCCATCCCCAGGAATGCCATCTTACAAGTTGCAAAACAGCCTATCAATCCCCACCCTCCCTTATCTACACGTCAGCACACCCAACCTAACCAGCCGACCACCCAACTAACACTCTGAGTGTACTAACCAACCACTCCGAGGGTATCATTCTTCGCCGTCCCTTTAGTTTTACTCCACGTAGCACTTGTGGTACCAACTCTCTCACTACTATCACCTACTTCAGAACCTTCCTCGTGCCTTGGGAATCTCAAGCCTCGTCAGCGACTCCTCGTAGCGCGCGATGCCTTTCCTCCAGTGGACACTCCCTCGCCGCCATGGTGTTCAATCTCCGTCGTCGGCGTGGGTCCTCGCCTTTGCCGTACTCTGCTCTGCGGTATGGGTGGCAACTCTCCCGCCACGCCTCGTGGATGCAGTTCCTCTCTCCTACGTGCTGAGTCAGATCCGCGACACGTCAACCGCGATTGGTCAGGTCGCTGACATGAGTGCGGGAGTGGTGGAGTTCGCTGCTGGAAATGACAAGGTCGTTGACATTTCCGGAAGCACACATCTTTGTCCCATTAATGACGGCTGGACCAAAGCACTCGCGGGTTACAAAACCAACAACCCGTCTGCTACACCCGAGTCGGACCCGGTTTTTGAGGCGCTCGACACGATAGTGAAATCGCCGGGGTCCGTGTCGGCCCTCAACGCCATGTCCGCCAACGCCAAGAACGCCCTGTCGCGCCTCGATAAGTTCATGGCGATCCCCGGTAACACCTTAGCTCCTGGAAGCGTAAGTGACCCGCCCTCGTGGAAAGCACAATCATATTTCTTTTGCGCTTGCGTCACTCCCGTGCGTGGATGTCGCACTCCATTCGTTCCTTGTCATTGCAACTCACACATGATCGTCCCATTGTCTATCACAAATCTATTTCCCTCCCAACCAGTACAAGACCGGGCGGCTCAGCTTCGACACGGAGGTCAACCAGACAATTTATGCCTACGGCACCGTCACTGGCGACCTATATGCCTTCACTGGGACTGACCGTGGCTCCGTTGACCCCAAAAATTACTTGACGAATGGACTTGTAGCAGGAAGCGGTGCTGGAGGGCCGAAAGCAGTGGCGGTTGGGATATACTTTCTTACTTTAACAGAAAACACTACTACTGCAACTCTCGGCAATGATAAGTTATCATCATCTGAGATGTCCGTGGTTTTTGTATCTGACCCGGTGTTTCCCTCCGACATGGGCTCGCTTACCAGCAAAGGTGCGTGTGGGGTGTGGATGCTGCAAGCATGCTTTGAGTCACTTCAACTTCCTAGGGCAGCCCTTCCAAGTAATGATGCTGCGATAGCAAGAGGCGGCAATGTGCGAGTGCCGCATGGACACTGGCAAACATGCAGCGCCATTGCCTTTTGTTGTTGCTGCATGCCAATGCGTCTTGACAGCTGCTGCTATACCATGTTAGCTTCATACCCTGGTTTTGTGTGTGTGTGTGTGTGTGTGTGTGTGTGTGTGTGTGTGTGTGTGTGTGTGTGTGTGTGTGTGCGTGTGCGTGTGTGTGTGTGCGTGTGCGTGCGTGCTTTTTCACTGGTTGTACAGATGCTGGCAGGCTTGCCCTGTATGGAAACTCCCTAGCTCTGGTTCTTTCTCTGTTTGTGGTGCTTGTGCTCATTTAAAATCACATGGAAACACAACAGTGTGGCCTTTCTGCAAAATGAAAGATTTACTAGATTGTTAGATGCATCACTGGTTTTAGTTTCTTCCTTAGAGGATGATGTTCTATCAAAGAGAGCATATATGTGTCCATATGGAGTTTAAAGATGGTTAAAAAACTGTAGTCCCAATTTTTAGTCCTGTGATGATGGGAAGGAGGGGGGATTCAAGATAAGAACTGTGGGGAATTTGGGGAAGCAAGGGAGAGAATGAGGGGAAGTAGGGGGAGAAACATGGGAAAGTAGGGGGGAAAACGAGGGGCATAAGGGGAAGGAATGAGGTGAAGCAAGGGGAGAAAATGAGGGGAATCAAGGGGAGAGAATGAGTAGCAGGTGGAGAAACGTGGGAAAGTAAGGGGGAAAATGAGGGAAAGCATTAGGATGTCAAACAACATGCATGTGTTAGGTTGTAGGCTACATTGAGGCACACTCTAAAGGGTACATTCTAGTTAGGGTTTCCCATATGTACCCAGTCTTGTGTTAGTGCATTCACTCCGCTGTTTCCACTTTGGTCATGGTACCAGTCGCTAGGTCAGGTCCGTACCTACCGTTGTTGTCAAAAGACATGCATACAATTATCTAGGCTATATTGGGGATAGCCTTAGGTACTGGAAACTTTCTCGACACACTAGTCTTGTACCCCAACCTTGACCTAATCCAAGCATTCTTGCCTTAGTTCTTAACGTGGTAACTAGAGCAGGAGGTCTCTAGGACCTAAAAATCGGGCCCACCTAACTGCCTGCCTTGCCTACTGCCCACGCGTGCCTCGGCTGCAGCGCGCGTCACTTTTGTTTTTCGCGCGCGCCTCGACTGCTAGCGCGCGCGTCACTGCTGTAGCGCCGCGCGCCGGCCTGCGTAGCCCGCGTAGAGCCCGCGCAGCCCGCCGTCGCGTGTAGCCGGCCGTCGCCCCGCGCGCCGCGTTTGTCGCCAACGCTGCCCGCCGCTGCGCCGCGCGTCGCGTCGGCCGCCTGCGCGGCCCGGTGCTCCTTAGCGCGCTGCTTTAGGAGCTCGCGTGCGGCAGCTCCTGCCTGCTACCTGCTGTCTCTTGCCTGTTGCCTGCTGTCTCCTGCCTGCTGCCTTGTGACTTTGTCTTTGCTTGTGGCCTGGTGCCTGCTACCTCTTGTCTGCTGCCTGCTGCCTCCTGCCTCTGCCTGCTGCCATTATGACGATGCCCAACGTTCTCGCGTTCGAGCCTAACGGTCGCCCCATAGAGTTCGCTGTGTGGCTAGATGATCTCCAAGTGTTCCTTCTTACCGATGCCAAAGAGGGCGTTTCATTGTTCGATTACGTGTCTGGCACTGCCGTTGCTCCTGCTGCCGATGCTCCTGCTCTTGAACGCTCGCAGTGGCAGACTCGCGATGCTGCTGCAAGCCTAGCTATTAGGAACCATCTGCCGATTACTGAGCGCGCGCATTTCAGCCAGCACAAAACTGCTAAGACGCTGTACGACGCTGTAGTTGCGCGCTACTCCTCCCCAGCCACTTCAGCCATAGGTCGGCTCATGCTACCCTACCTGTTCCCCGACCTTTCCTCGTTCACCACTGCTGAGGACCTCATTTCCCACCTGCGCGCTACTGACACTCGCTTTTGTGCCGCCCTTTCAGCCGAGTTCTGCGCCGCAACCCCCCCCCCCCCGATGTACTTCACTCTCTATTTCCTCGTCACCCGCCTCCCTGACACTCTTAGTTCAGTCAGGGACCACTTCCTCGCGCTAGACGCCCCCACTCTCACTGTCGACGACTTCGAGAAGCACCTCCTCGCAGCAGAGAAGAACATCCTCGCTGTAGGTGCTGCTCGTGGCACTCCTCGCTCTCCCCTTTTTGAGGGGTGCTCCCCCTCCCCTCCCACCCCCTCCTATGCCTCTGCAGCTGCTGGTCACGACTACTTTGGTGCTGAGGAGGTCGGGGCTGCTTCCGCTCCTAGTGGGAAGAGTAGCTGCAGCAGGGGTGGCAAGGGTGGCAGGGGAGGTGGGGGTGGCGGTGGAGGTGGCGGTAGTGCAGGCGGCGGGGGAGGTGGAGATGGTGGGGGTGGTCGTGGGGGTGGAGGTGGTGGAGGTGGTGGTGGGGGCGGTGGAGGCACTGGGAGCGGATGAGGTGGTAGTAGAAGCGGTCCGGGAGGAGGGAGCGGCGGTGGGAGAGGAGGGAGCGGTGGTGGCAGTGGTGGTCAGGGCGAGCAGCAGTCAAAGCCGCAGTAGCAGCAGCAGCAGCGTCAGCGCCAGAACCCCACTTCCCAGCAGCTTCTTGACTGGTATGCCAGGCGTGGGACTTCCGGGGGTCTTGGTCGCTGCCCCTATATCATTTGCACAGGTCCCCGCACTGGTCGCCAGTGCACAGGGTTTCACACTGAGCAGCGCTCCTTCGCTTGGCTTAGCGACGCCTGGCGCACCAAGTTTCTTGATGCTTCTGAGTTCCCCAACTGGGCAGAGCTGCTTAGGCGTGATGTACCTATCTTTGATCTTGACTATGAGGCTATTCTTGCTACTATATATACATTGTCTATTAGTGCTGAGGGTGACCGCTACTTGTGTGTGCCACCGTATCCTGGTATAGTCCCAGGTATAGCGCCTGCAGCCCTAGGTGCTTGTGAGTCTGCTCCCCTTGGTGAGCCAGCGAAGCTCCTGTGCAGCCATGGCCCCGGCATAGATCTTAGCCTCACAACTGGAGCTGAGGACAGAAGACGAGCGAGTAGCCCGCCATGAGACAGAGCCGGAACCAAGACTGAAGGTGTAACCCTGTGACGACCGCTGCGTAGCCTGGTCGTCAGCCCAAGAAGCGTCCGCGTGCCCCGTAAGGACCACTGGACTCCGCCCTCCAAGCACTAGCCCCATGCCCGACGTACTGCACAGGTAGCGCAACACCCTCTTCGCTGCAGCCATGTGCTCTGGTCGGTGTCTCCCAGGAGCAACATAGCGTGCAAGAATGCTAAGAGGGTATGCAAGGTCAGGACGTGTGCAGGTCATCAGGTACATGAGGCAGCCAACAAGCTCTGGGTACGGGCCACTCGACTCTACGGACTCATCTGAAGGCAGAGCTGAGAGCGAGTGGCGAGTAGACAGAGGAGTGGCCTGAGGCGAGGAGTACGTGAAGCCGAAGCGCTGAAGGACCTGCTGCACCATGTGTGACTGAGTCAAGGTAATGGTGCGGCGTGCTCTGTCCCGAGTGATCTGCAAGCCAAGATAGCTGCGCAGTTCACCCAGGTCTGTGCACGTGTGTCTCTTCAGCAGCTCGTACTTCACGTAGGCGAGTCCAGCAGTGTCCGCTGTGGCAAAGACCAAGTCGTCGACGTACATGAGGATGTAGAACGGCGGCAGAGAGGTGTCGGTGCGCAGAAACAGCGACGGGTCAGCAGTAGAGGGAGCAAACCCAAGAGCCGCAAGTGTAGTCTGCAGTGTGTCGTGCCACTCACGCGGTGCCTGGCGGAGACCGTAGACTGGCCGTCGGAGGCTCCACTGGGTGCCAGGAGGGAAAGTCCCAGTGAAGCCAGGTGGACGGCGCAGCCAGATCTCCTCGTGCAGGCTACCCTGCAAGAACGTAGTGCTGAAGTCAAGAGAGTGAAGCTCGTAGTCGCGCTGAGCCGCTATGTGCAGCAGCACCCAAAGAGTGGTCATCTTCGGGGTGGGAGAGAAGGTCTGAAAGTAGTCAACTCCCTGCCGCTGACTGAAGCCACGAGCGACGTACTGCGCCTTGAAGACAGGTGGAGAACCCGGCGGCCGCTTCACCCTGAAGATCCACATGCCACTGACGATGTTCGCCCCAGGAGGGGGAACCGCGTCAACGTAGGTGCCTGTGGACTTCCAGGAAGCCATCTCTGCATCTATAGCTGCCTGCCAATGAGAGGAGTAGGGACCCTCTACAGCCTCCGCGTAAGAGCGCGGAGTCGGGATGTCTAGTGCATCCGGGTCTCCCTCAGGGGCAAGCAGTACAGACGCGAGATGAGGTGAAGCAGTAGCCAGACACTGGAACTCCTCCTGCCTGTCCTCAAGGACGTCCGTGCCAAGAGCACACTCACCCCCGACGGACGGAGGAATGACAGACGCATACTCAGCAACAAGACTGACAGCGTAGTCGAGACGACAGCGAGCAGCAAAGTCGACGAGCTCAGCAACAAGTGCAAACGCAGCAGTGGACTCAAACGAGGGGTCAGTGACGACAGTAGCAAGGAGACGCGTGACAGTAGGACTGGCAGCACGAAGAGAGTCCGACTCCGGGTCGTCAGCGCAGGAAGAGTGGACGCAGGAGGAGAAGGCAAAGGGGCACGCAGAGGAGCAGTGGACGGACGCAAAGACATCCGGTGCGTGCCAGGAACAGGAGGAGGACGCTGACGCGAACCGCGACCACTAGCGCGAGCAGCACGAACAAGCGACGCGGGACGAGACGAAGGCTCACGACGCTCAGCAAGACCTCCAGTAGGACCAGTGTAAGGAGAGGGAGCAGGCAGTGGGGAGGCGAGCTCTAACAGGGACTGAGACAGGACAGGCGGTGGACCCTCTACAGGAGGAGAAAGACCAAGAACCTGCTGCAGGAGCGGAACAAAGTACCGCCGAGGCCGCGCGGGGACTCCAGACACAGCAGGGACTGCACCAGCACCCTCAGCGGCAGCACCAGCGCCAACAAGGCCTCCAGCGGCAGGACCTCCAGTAGCACCAGCAGCAGGACCACCGCCAGGATAGACGGTAGCAATCTCAGTACTAACACCCTCAGGAGCTCCAGCTCCAGTAGGACCCGCAGACCCAGCAGCTCCGGGACCAGCGCGACCAGCACCCTGAGCGACCAAAGAAGCGCCAGCTCCAGCAGCACGCCTCCAGCGGCGAGCAAACCACTCGCGCAGCTCCTGTGGAGAGAGTGGCTCCCGCCGATACAGAGCACCCGGAGAACCTCCAGGCCCAGCACCACCAGACACCACAACGGGAGGTCCAGCGGGCGTAGGCTCCGGACCTCCCGGCTCAGCAGCCCTAGACGCAGCAC